CCCGGCGTGCTCCGTCCCGGCTTTGTAGGGATGCGAGGTCAAATGTCTAACGCGACTACGGCATGCACAACTATGAGTACACCCCACCCCCCTCGTTGTTTGCCATCGGGATTGGGTTTTCGTCGCTTGGCAACGACGTCGTATCACAAGCCAATTCACTTCGTGAGCTCGGCAACCAGGTCACCGTTGTTGTTTTGTTCCTCTGTTCTGCTTTGGCGGTGACCATAACGGTGGTCGAGTGGATCATGTTGTGCGGGGTGGAGAAGCCTCACTCCGTGCAAGGGGGATGATCGCACCACGTTCTGTTAAGTGGTCAAGCACCCTCGACGCCGTTACGCAGTGCTTACAAATGTCTCTGGAAGTGAAAGCACCAGAAAGTAAATTATGTCATACGCAGCTGTCATCCGTACGCAAGGAAGTAAGCACAAGATGCCGAACACCCTTANGGTGATGTGAGAGCCTGGTCCGGTGAGAACCCGGCGTGCTCCGTCCCGGCTTTGTAGGGATGCGAGGTCAATGGTCTAAACGACTACGGCATGCACGACTATGAGTACACCCCCCCACCCGCGTGATTCTCGGCCGTCACGCCCACACGAGGGAGTTGGTGTATGGACTACAGTATGTCTAGGAAGCCGCAGCCACAACGTCTATAGCATCAAAGCATCAACAACAGCAAAATCAATGTCATTTCTCTTCCTACATTCTTGTACCACTGCTGTTGGTAGTTGTTTCTGGTTGTAAATAGGGGAATTCTACCGCTGTGGCTGCTAGCATCGTTACAATGCTACCGCTGCTGCTGCTGCTACTGCTTCTCACCGAACCCTGTTCCTCTCTCGGAATATCTAATACGAACAAATCCCTGCTGTCGCCATCAGTGGTCCCGTGTGGGATGTGGCGTTCGGGCCTGCCGGGTACTACTTCGCGACGGCCTCGAACGATCGAACGGCCTGCCTCTGGAGCACGGACTGCGCCTCGCCGCTAAGAATTTTCGCCGGGCACTTGAAGGGAGTGCTCTGTGTCACGTGAGTCTCTCATTTTTCTCTGACTCAGCCGCGGGCGGTGTGTGTGTGTTCCGTCGTCGTCGTCGTCGTCGTCGTTGTCGTGGGCCAGTGCTGCTTTGCTTCTTTTTTTGCCGGTGATGGACTGCTCTTGTTAATGTGTGCTCTTCGACGTTATCTTTTTACATAGCATCGTCCGTGCTGCTTGCGGATGGATGTATTGATCGTTCAGTCGGCAACGGTCTTGGGAAAAATAATCGCCAGGATGGGCTGTTGTGCCGTGACCCTGACCTCCTTTTCGTGCGCCCTTGGAAGGACTTTTGAGGTTTATCCGTGCCCTTTCCCTTGTTGTCGCCTCTCTCTTGCTCCCGCCCCCCCAACGTACGTATGGAATGATTTTCGTGCGTTGTTGCACCGCAGTTTTCACCCCAACGCCAACTATGTGGTGACCGGTAGCATGGACAAGACGGTCCGCGTTTGGGACGTGCAGACCGGGGACTGTGTTCGGCTGCTGGCGGGCCACTCGGGGAGCGTGACGTGTGTTGCTGTGTCGCCCAGCGGGCGCCTGGTGCGTGTCGTCGTTGTGGTTGATGTAGTTGTTGGTGGTGCTGTTGGTGTTGTTGTTGCTGCTGCTGGTGTTGTTGTTGTTGTTGTGGTTGCTTGTTGATGTTCAAGTCGCTGCTGCTGCTGCTGCTATTACTTGTTGCACAGCCGAAAGAACGTGTAAAACAGCACATCCTCGCGTCTGCCAACACATCTCGGCGCCTCCCGCTCGTGTGTGTTTGGGATGATGATACTGGCGATGCCGGTTCTCCTGCTTCTGCAACATGCGCACGACCCTCTCCCCCCCCTGATCTTGGTTGCCGCTCCCACTCGGGCTGACCAATAGACGCTCGCCGTCCCACCGGCTCGTACGGGATCCTCCCTCCCCCATAGTCGTGCATGCCGTAGTCGTTAGACCATTCACCTCGCATCCCTACGAAGCAGAGACGGAGCCTGCCGGTTCTCACCGGACCAGGCTCGCCCCCCCCCCCCCCCCCCCCCCCCCCCCCCCCCCCCCCCCCCCCCCCCCCCCCCCCCCCCCCCCCCCCCCCCCCCCCCCCCCCCCCCCCCCCCCCCCNAAAGCCATAAGGGTGTGGGACCTGGCCACCGGCGTGGCTCTGGCGCTGTTTAAGGGCCACAAGGATGAAGTCGAGAGCATCGACTTCAGCGCGGTGAGAAAAACAATACAGTAGCTGCACGAGAGTTCTCGGACAAGCCAACAACCACTGCCGCACTGTGTAATTGTGTAGTACTTCCAAGTATTTGATATGGTCGGGACTGGCGGAAAGCACTGTCCTGAGTCCAATTTTCTCTCACGTAATCTCTCTTGAACCGTAGCCGCTACTGTATAGAAAGAAGTGTGTGAAGTACCGAAGCCCGTTCCGTGAACTTCTCCCTCCAGCCACTGTTCGGTCCAAACCATGTCGACAATCCGTATTTTGCTCTAGTTTTGGAGACGATCCCCCTGGCGTTATATGACGAGGCAGTTCATGCTCGTTCATTCATGCTCTGATCGGGCATGATACATGATACATGATACATGATACATGATACATGATGCATGATACATGATACATGATACATGATAGCAGAACAACGGCACGGTAATGGTGATACCACGTAGGACGGTGTTCTGCTTTGCATGGTGGCGATACTAGATATCGTGTTCGAATTTTCAACCCCCTCTACTCCCTCACCTGCACCGTTGCCCCCCCCCCCCCCCCCCCCCCCCCCNNNATACACATGCCTCCCGCGTAACTCGGAAACCCCGGAAACCCACCTCCCAACGACGCGACGAACTGACTGCAGGAGGGCTCGGCGCTAGTCAGCGGGAGCAAGGACAATACCGTCAAGATCTGGGACATAGCGTCGGCCTGTAACCGTGACGGCGACGGTCGAAACGGCGTCGATTCCTCCGCTTCCCTGGCGGAGCAGATGAAAGCGGCGGCGGCTGCAGCGGCGGCGATTGGTGATGGGGGTCGGGGGGGAGGGGTGTCGGCGGTTGCCGGAACCAAACGAAAAAAGGGAGCCGGGGGTGGGGGTGGGCGGGCACCGTGGCCGTCGAGAGGGGATGGCCCAAGCCACGGCCCTGTGCACTCGTTCGGAACGAGGAACACTGGCGTCTTCAAGTGGGTGTTTCGATGTTGTTGTTGTTGTTGTTGTTGTTGTTGTTGTCTTTACATTGAAAATCGTTCCGGTCTTTGCTTAGTGCCTTAATCCGTAGCGGCCCAATTTCCGCGGACCCCTTCCTTGCGAGATAACAGGCCAGGTACACGAAAAACGATGGCAGTCACTTCGAAAAATAATGCGACTAACTAATTATTCACAAACGAGGTAGTAGACCGAAAGCCAGAAAACTTGAAAACACGGAAGGACAAGGCAGTCAGATGTCGCTGGCGACACATCCGGCAAAAGGCATGCTGCGACGAGAACATTCTTCGAAGCCGCGCCTAGAATCCGCTCTTGTGCATGCCGTACGAGTGCGGGCGAACGCCCAGGTGCGATCGATCGGTGTCAAAAGGATCGATTTCTCCACCACAATCAAGAGGCTACCATTGCGGGAAACGGTGTGGTTTTGGAAGCACTGTTGTATCACGTGGAGGAGAGCTTGCCCTTGCCCTTGTCGTTTGGGTGTCGCACCCCTCTTGGTTGCGGAGCAATCGAGCTCGAAATATCGACCGTTCGCACAACTGCTGCTGTTCGTTCGCCCGTACCTTGTTACGGTACGTTTGTTGTACTTGTCGTGTTTTGTTGATACAGTACACCCGGATACTCTTGCGCGTTGTGCGGGCTCTTAGCTCCCTCTCCATCTTATTCTTCTCCGTTCTGTTGACTCTGTTGCCCAACATGAGAATGTATCTCCCTCCTCATCTTCTCGTTCTCCGTTCCGGTCGCCTTTTTTGCTTACTGAGAGAGTGAGAGAGAGAGAGAGCCCTGGTTATCCAACACAATCACCGCTCCTTTTGCGCCGCCGGCTGGTCTTTCCCTCGTTTCTCGCCCCGCAGTGTGCTCTTCACCAAGAGAAACCTGGTGATCGCCTCAGGGGTCTGTCGAAACAAGTCATGACCAAGAATCGAATCAAGGGCTGGTGTGCTGGTTGTTGTTGTTGTTAGTTTGGGGGGGGGGGGTTAGGAGAAGCAATGGCGGCCATGCGGTGGTGGTGCCTTGCTCATGGGGTTGTGAGAGGCGACTGCGACAAAAGAGAAGTGTCGAGATAGGCGCCACCTGCGTTTGTCGTAACAATGTCTTGTTTCTTGTTCGGCTGTCTGTGTTCATGTCATGAAATCCTTTTTGTCTGATAGGTCTGGTAGGTGCGGTGTGTGGGTGTGTGGAGGGCGCGGAAGCACAGGAAACTACCGTAGAGCGGACTTGGCACGAGGGCTGTGGTGCAAGGGAGATGGATGTCTGGATTGCTGGGGCAGAGAGGGGGCACATGACCCCCC